GCTAGTGAAGCGGACAGGGTCAGGAAAAAAAGAAATCCTTGAAAACTGGAAATTGATGTTATACTGCCTGTCGTTGGGGCTTCGGGATTTTGTCAGAAAATAAAAAGCTCTCATTAGCAACAAGCCCGTTTCTAACGATCGTTGTGTGCCATCTGCTGTAAGTCCTTAGCATAATGCTTCCAGGACATGGACCCTTTAAAACAGACTCAATGTGAATGTTTTTGTTTAAATGTATACACATACACATTCATGCACGCTCATGCACATCACACACGCATACACACACATAATTAATACCCTATATACATAATATTTATATTACAAAAGGGAGTGTATACTTAAAAGGTAAATCTTTAAAATTTATGTTTAAAGGTTTGGGAATCATGGTGTAAATGAAATCTGTAGAGCATAACAAAAAAATAGTTGATATATAATTTTGAATGTGAGGTAGAGGGATTGATGAATGTTGGTAAGGAACTAACTTCAATGTTAAAGGTATTATTTATTTTTAAATGATCTGTCTGGGAGAGTCAGTGACGACAAAGTGAAATTGAGGTTTGCAGCCACAGTGAGGCGATGGAGAACAAAGCCTTTTATGTGAGCCATATTATGCAAAATGTCCCATGCTTGAGTTGCAGGTACCAGCCCAGTATAAAGCATAGCTCTGTCACCCTGTCATTTCACTGTGGGCAATTATAATTTTTTTTTGGCAATGAAAGTGGATTAAATAAAAGCTATGTAGAATTCCCAAGAGGAAGATCACATTCTTTCATTTGACTGTAACACAAAACACCCCTTTGACTGGGCAATAGGCGTCTATGTATTTTGGTAGAAATTTTTATGAATTTGTAAATCATGAGTATCTCAGTCGCCCTTCTCCCTTTATTCACAAACCATTCTCCCACCAAGAAATGGTAAAAAGCATTTTTTTCTTTCAATAAAGGATATTATGTTTGTGTGTGTATTTCAATATCGATTTCCTGGTAATTTTATTTGATTATCATAGGTTTACATCTGTTTCATGATTTACATATTATCAGAGCTATTGTGCCTTTAGGATCAGTGGTACATGCTGTTTATCTATTCATGGTTTATTTTTAATTTATAGTAGTTCACGGTTAGCTATAATATTATTTAATTTCCGAAAGTTTCTTTAACTTTGACCCATACGTAGAAAATTGCTTAATATATACTGGAGATCTGAGCAAATTTAAAATGGAGCTTCCTTTAAAAAAAAAAAGCATTTGATTACATTAATTTTATTTCCTTTGTTTCTCTCTCTTATCCCATGTCCCCCACCCGCCACACACACACACACACACACACACACACACACACACACACACACACAC